ACTCACTCACTCACTCACTCACTCACTCACTCACTCACTCACTCACTTCATTCATTCATTCATTCCAGGAGAGAAATTCGAAGCATCCAATAGTATGTTCTAATTATACAGAAAACAATACATATAAAATAATAAAATAAAAAAATGTTGAATACACAGATTTGGAAAAAGACAAAATGCACAAGGTGGTAGGGAGTACTACATTCATGATTAACATTATATATGCATGCATACATACAAAACTAAGCATACATGCACATATACATGTATATACATATGCATATGTACATGTATATGTATATATACATACATATGCATCTGGGGTGCTGCAGATTTACAAGGCTCCATTTTTACTTTACGTGGAAGAGTTGAACAATCTGACGGCATGATGGACAAAGGACTTCCTGAATCTGTCCATGGAGCAGGGCTGGGACAGCAGCTTCTCTGCTTCATGATGACGTCATATAGAGGATGGTCAGTGTTATCAATAATGGATAGCAGCTTACTGAGGGCCCTTTTCTCTGCCACTGATGTAAGGAGCTCTGTTCCCAACGCAGAACCAGCTTTTCTCACCAGCCTGTTAAATCTACGTTTTAGATCTATGTTGTAAGATAATATGAAAATGTGCAATTGCATATCATGGATGGAATGTGTCAGACTAACATCTTCTTTACGTTATTGCCAACAGCAAATCTTTGAGCAGCATTTCTTAAAAAAAAAACTGTTTCTACTTGTTTCCTCACCTCTCTAAGAGACCAGCCCTGAATGTTTTTGTGCGTCACAGCTGAAGGCTCCATTGTCCCTATTTCTGGTTTACCAGTTGTTCCTCCTTACACCACAGAACACCAGGCTTGCCTCCAAATAAACACTGTTTTAATGATAACTGACTTTGTTATCAAACCATTGCTATTTGACCACTAAAGTCAGTCTCACCCTTGCCTGAAGCCATTTTCTCTGCCTTCATCAAAATAAATTTAAGAGCTCACACTTTGTTTTTTTACAGTATGTTACCTTGCTCACTTGTCAGTGATTTTGGAGTTTGGCCTAAAGTATCATCTCACTGTTACCCAGTTATTTATGTCTGTGCACAAAGTGAAAGAAGAACATGAAAATACAGTATTTAAAGCTTTAAGGAAAGCAGGGATTTGAGTGAAATTTATACATTTAACATCAACTTAAATAAACAATGAGTTATAAAGCTTATCAGGTTTTGTAATAATATACTTTTTAATCTATCACTGTATATGTTTTTGCCTTAGTAATACAATTAGGTCTCTAAGCATGTTGTAAATACCAGTTAAACTCAATTTTAGCTGTGAAAAATCCTTACTGTGTGTGACATTTGCTTACCGCCTTCATGGATATAGTTTCAAAACAGAAAAAAGCCAGCAAGAAATGGAATTTCCTGTGATCAAATGTTGATTTTGTCATCATGGTAACAATGTTCTTTCTCTTTTTCTTCTTACAAACATTTCCTTTCACCACACAGTTTGCGCTATCATCTTCCTGACATTCCACTCAGTCTTCTTTAGTCACAATGGGACCTAGTTGTGGAATCCCACAAGTGCTTTGTATTATTTTGGCTATTAAGACAATAAAAACAGTTAGATGTCTGGAATGGTTGACTGAAGACTAAGATGAGTCTGACTTGATTCACAATTGTTCACTGATTTGGTATTAGGTTGCCCTCTCTGGCCATCATTTTAGTAGTTCCCTTTGGTTTTGGCAGATGGTATATATCAAGATAAAGTCACAGCCAGTTGAGTTTTGCATTTTTATTTATTTTTTTGTTAATGATATGAGTATTATGTCTGCAGTCTTGAGGATGCTAGTCATTCTGTCTAGTCATGACCAGTCTGTCTCACCAGTTAGGCATTTCTTAGTCCACTGTGAGTCCAGCTCTTTGAAATTCTACTTCTGAAGCTAAAACCCATGAGACAATAGGGTAAATAGTTCTGAAAGAATGCTTTCAAAAGCAATCACAGCATCATTTTAGGACTTTCCATCAAACTAATTTAAACAAATCAAAGAGCTACACATTTAATTAGATAAAGGCTTTTTGTGTTGGAATACACCTTCAGGGATTTTGCTTTCTTTTATGGGCATTAAAAGTTCACAAATCTGACTGAAATATTTTTTTATGACAGATTCCAGCTCGTGCTTTAAATAAATCTGCATTTGGAGTCATTTTTTTCTCTCTTCTCCTCCCATCTAGCTTCCAAGCACTGACTTTACTAATCAGACAAGTAAAACCTGAAGCCTATTATGGTTCAAAAATGTAAATTTTGCTATTCTAGATGTTTAATTTACACTTGGTGTATTTTTATTTCTCAAGATTGCTCATGCTCTCTCTGGCTGGAGTTCACCCTCTGCAGTGCTTTGACAGAAACTAGGGCTGACTCAAACGTATTATTGTGAAACCCAGTGGAAACCAAAACACATTGGTAATCATGAGAAGAAGGAAAAAAAAAGTTGACATGGCACAATATTATTTATAAAGCCTGTATTGTTTGGGAATACTTATTAAGGTTTAGTCCGGAGTCTTTTTAAATAGCTATATTTTTGCTCTCTATCTGAAACTAATACATATGTACACCTATTCTCTCATCTAGCATCACTTATCACTTTCTTTTTAAATTATTTCTGTTTGTAGGATTCATCATAATTGGCATGTTTAAACCTTTTAGCCATAAGTTGAAGTTAGTCAAAGTTTCTTTATTTGTTGTTTGCACCATATTTGGTACATGTGGTGGAATGAAATCGTGTACACAGGGTCCCAGTTACAACCAACAAAAGTATAAATTGTAAAGAAAAACAGTAATAAGATCTAAGATATGAACTAAAAAACATGCTAAACTAAGAATACACTAAGCACTTCAAACCAGTACGCCCAACAACGGCAGCACGAACATGAGTCTGTGTGAGCACATGAGTACAATGAACACGGCAGCATGAAATAAATCGGCAGCATAAGATCAGCTGCCCATTTTTAGTTTTGTTCCCTGTTCAGTGATTTCTTAACTGTAGTACAGAGGCTGAACAGGTGTACTATGTTACTCCAACGGCACAACTTTATTTTCAACAATGGCGAAAGAGAAAGCAGCAGCTTCTTCATTGTTACAGCCACCTTCGCTCTACTCAAAACAGAGAGGGGCGGGGGAACAACACCCTCCTAGTACAAATACAACAGGCTCTGCAAATGCAGCTTCCAAGCTGACATCACTACCCCCACTCTGGATGATGGTTCAACCCCAAACATCACTCCAGCACAACACAAAGCATAATGCCAGATAAAAAACAAACAAACAAAAAAAACCCCCGTCATATATCAAATTCTGTCCCTCAGTCCACAGTCAGTGTGGGCTGCACAGGCGACCATTGAGAACGAATGTCCCAAAACAAATAAGTCCATGAAGAAGTGGGGTAAGAGTGACGAGCCTAAATTTGCTTAACTTAACACACACAAAATAAACAAACAAACAAAACAAACAAAAAAAAAAACCCCGCTGTGGATGCCAATCTGGGCAACTACCATTTCTTACACCCACAAGGCGTGTGGTATGACACACAACTGCAACAACATAAGGGCTCCTCTGTCTCTGCTGTGGTGTGAAAAAAAATCTTTATCTTCAGCACAGTAGTTTAAAGATAAACCAGCATTACTAATTGTTGGAGAGAAAGAAACTGTGTAACCAATAATAGTTTGGCAAGACAGTCTCCTAATCCCGCTTCAGAGGGCATTGAAAACTGTGGCTAAAGTTTAAACAAGAACGAGGTTCTGTTCAGTCGCCAGGAAAGCTGAGGTGTAAACAGGAACAAGCACTGAGAGACGCCCAAGCCTCAGTGGCTGGACCCAGGCCGCATCATTAGAACTGACATTCAGTTAAACACTGAGCCAACATCTTTTCTTCCCCTGTGCCAATCACTTCTGACTCACGCTAGACTGAACTGATGCCCATTGGCTGCCCAAGTACGACTAACGGACCACCCTTCTCCTGAGTGGACAAGTGCTTTTATAGCTGACATGCTGCTTTTTTTTCCCCTTACTGCTCTCATGCAAGGTGTGGGATTGTACAGCAAATATCAAAGCAAATCCACCCACTACTCAAACACTGGAATGACATATTCAATAGAAGTGGGAAGCTTAAGTTTATTGGTAAATTGGTTTCGTAAAATACTATAAAGATATTCTTTTTCTCAAAAGAGGCAAGTCACTGAGTTTATTCACACTTTGATTCAAGCTCTGAGGCCTCTTTCTCATTTTATCAATATTTCTTCTTTTATTTCCAAGACCAAAAAAAACCTACTTTTTTTAAAATACTCATATATCTGGACATTCAAAAAACAAAACAAAGCAAAACGACAAAAAACGTACAGTATATATCATGTCTTTTAGGAGTTCCATTATTTTGGAATATCGCTGGTTTCCATGGTTTTGTACACGTGTAGAAGGGCAGCTATGTGCCAAACCAAAGTTCACCAGACCCTTGCCTAGTTGAGAGGGTTTGGGCTTTTTCTGTCATTCACGCTCCAAGGCATTCCAGATGTCTGCCGCCATAGCAGCTCTGAATTCACTGCCATGCTTTTCTGTGGGTTTCAAGTGTCACTTTTAATTCATAGAGACTCTTAGTGCTTGCTTGGAACAGTTTAAGAAGTTAAAAAGTTGATGTCATATGAAGCATTACATGCAAAGCACAAATAATTCATCAACATATACAGACAATTAAAACCTTTTTCACACATCTTTAAGTTACGTTACATCACAAACATTGTGTTTGGAAGGAAAAAAGGGGAAATCATTTACAGCTGGTCTTCACCAACAAAGGTTTATGTAGCTAAATTAGCTTCTTTGTATTGCAGTTGATTGTGGCAGGTTTTCTCAGTGCCTATTACTGGTTTCTGTGCAGTGTACTGGCTGGCTATAATGGCACCATATTTGCTTACGGCCAGACAGGCAGCGGAAAAACCTTCACCATCACAGGGGGCGCCGAACGATACTGTGACCGTGGCATAATTCCTCGCACTCTGTCCTACCTGTACGAGCACTTCAATGAGGTTAGCTGAGTCTTGTCTGCTTTTCACTTAAACATTTGTTAAATGAAATGCTCACTTATTATAAAAAAATGCATGTAAATAATATAAATGTGCATTACATTTTGTAATCTTTATCATTTGCTATTGATTCCTAACAAAACTGTCAAAAGCCTCTTCCATACGTTAATGTATCAATCTCTTTTCTGGTTTTAGATCATTTAATTTTGCTTCACAGGACAGCAGCATGGTATACACCACACACATATCCTACCTGGAGATCTACAATGAGGTGGGGTATGACCTTTTGGATTCCCGGCACGAGGCATCTCGACTGGAGGACCTCCCGTCAGTCTTTAACACTATATATTTTTTAATGCTTTTCCCTTAATGCTCCAGTTTTTAATTTATCTTGCTTTTTTGTTCTGGCTGCTTTCTTGTTAATTTGTCTATTTCTTTCTTACTGTTCAGACTTTTCTCATTTTATTTTTTGTCTATAAATCACTCTACTAACTTCATCTGTTTAGAAGGTTGAATCTGATCTTCTTTTGTCCTTTTTGTTCCCTCTCTTTTTCTATTTTCAACACTTAATATTAAAGCAGGACTTCCAGGCACAGACCTAATTTTGAAGTTTGTCCTTCTGCTAAGAACCCAACTCAAACTTTAAATACCCACAAATCACAGTCTTCTGGAAATAGACAGTACCCGCTGTTAACCATGCTGTGGCTACACTTGCTGATTCAAGAGGAGGTTGTGGCACTGACATATTTTCCCTTTAGCTGTCTCTCCCCCTCCTTACAGTAACCCCTCATTTCTCGTTGACATACCAGCACAGTTTTTCTTATATTACGTACATTCCTACTCTTCATCTGTTTTCATCGTGCTTTCAGTTTTCCATTGTTTGAATTCCTGAAAATCTGCAAATTACCTTCATTCATGCCATGTTTATATCATTTTTGCGAAAGTACAATAATTAAATTATATTTAGGGCTGGCGTGAGTGTTTAGGAAAATTACCCTGCCAGGACACAGCCGCTTAATTACAATAAGATTAATACTGTTTTATCAGACCACCTCAATTACCTACACATGTTAACATAATTATCTGCATGTGTTCTCCAGTCATTCCTCCCCGTTCGACTTGTCAGTCAAACAGTCACGCTATCACATCACTGGTGGCTGGATGGAAATGATATAGTAGGACCATAGTAGTCATTCAGCTCCATCTGTTAAAGGACACTGTGTTTCAGATTGTCTTATGTGGGCAAGAAACAGCCACCTGTTTGTTTCTACAACCAAACCCTGCCTGTTATTACATTATGAACCCCCATATAGATAAATCACATGTCAGACAGGGCTACAGCCCACACTGACCTGCATATGTGGTCTGCATTTAGTGCCGCATGACGCCAAAGTGATTAGAGGTAAATAGTTGACATACTGACATAATTACTTGTTTTTCTGTTTGTTTGGTTATTGTGGTTGTCAGTGAACTTTGTAGTATTGCCTTCCTTTTATTTATATATTTATTTTAGTTTAAGTACTTAAACTAACTAGGCGACTGTGGCTGGGTGGTTAGAGCAGTCATCATCCAATGCAAGAGTTGTGGGTTCTATTCCACCAGCAGTCACATGCTGAAGTGTCCTTGGACAAGACACTGAACCCCTCGTTGCCTCCGATGTGTGTCCTATCGGTGTATGAATGTGCTAAAGCACTGATTATTTTTTGTACAGATCTAGTAGAGTGCTGTATGAATGGGTAAATGAGGGCACAGATTGTACTGTAGTGTAAAGTGCTTTGAGTATCTTGATAAGATAGAAAGGTGATATATATGTACAGTCCATTTATCATTCTTACATTCAGAATTTCCTCCTGGAGAATGTTTGTATAAGATTGCAACAAGTCTTTAATGCACAAAATAATCAAACAATTATACGACACATTTTGACCAGATTTAACATTATATTTGATAGTTATGTATAACTTTTCATTTTGGGCTTAGCTATAATAAGCTGTATTGCAAAACTGGCAGCAGTTTTATTTTTAATAACCAACTGTTCTTACATTGTTGGGATTTGACTGATTTGAAGCAAAGAAAATGTATTTTTTGCTTCAAAATCAATTTTGTACTTAACGTGGTTTCATGATTATAAATAGAATGCGTTAAAAAAGTAACACTTTATAATTTAATTGTAATGTCTCATGTTTCATTCTGAGGTATTGCTTTTGAAAACTTTAATTCCTTTTTTTTCTGGATGTAAATCACTTTTTTTTGGATGATTATTTCCTCTGATATCGGATGATGGCTCCGTGAACGAATTCCCATCAACCTGGTGGTGGTGCTCGAGTACCTGACCGCCGAGATCATGAAGCTGGTGGGAAACTCGGCTCATGACAAAAGGAGGACCGGGATCATACCCCGACACCTTCAGCTGTCTGTGGCGACGAGGAGCTTTCTGGCAGTCCTGCTGCCCAGGAGAAACAAGAGGCCCGCCGGATCTGACAGCAAGCTGGATCCGGGTGGACGGATCGGTATCTATGGCCAAATTCTTCGGATTCGCTGCAGGAGATCCTTCCTGCCCACAGCTATCAGCATCTAACAACTCCTGAATGAAACCAGAATGATGAGCTACAACAACACTTAATTTCCTTCTGGGATTAATAAAGTATTTTGAATTGAATTGAATGTATGTAGCAGCACGGTGGCGCAACTGGTAGAACTGCTGCCTCTCAGTGAGCAGGTCCTTGGTTCAAACCCCGGTCCAGGGGCCTTTCTGGGTGGAGTTTGCATGTTCTCTCCGTGCATGCGTGGGTTTTCTCCGGGTGCTCCGGTTTCCTCCCACAGACCAAAAACATGCATGTTAGGCTGATTGGTAACTAAATTGTCCCTAGGTGTGAGTGAGAGAGTGAATGGTTGTTTGTCTCGTTTGTCTCTATGTGGCCCTGTGATGGACTTGTGACCCGTCCAGGGTGTACCCCGCCCCTCGCACAGTGATTGCTGGACATGGGCACCAGCGACCCCCGTGACCCAAAATAGAACAAGCGGGTAAAGATAATGGATGGATGGATGGATGAATGGATGTACTATGAATGCTTTATGAAATAGTCTTTGTTAGACAGTTTTACACTTTTATTTTTTGTTTTAGAAAAGTAATAATAAGAGAGGATCCAGAACAGAACATCCATCTCAGGAACTTGTCTCTGCAGCAGTCGGCAAACGAAGAGGAGGCTCTGAATCTCCTCTTCCTGGGTGACACCAATCGTATGATTGCAGAAGTAAGAAACAAGGAACACACACACACAAACATGCAGGCAGTGTTCATCAGTAGTGTAAATAATAAGCAAAAATGCCACTGACCACTCCCAGGGAAAGTGTTATAAAAGTTATTTTTTGTTCCTGACATGCAATATGCATTCTGAAAGCTACCTTAGGACCCCTTTAAAATATTATTTTAGTTCTCTTTAGGCTCTTTCATCAGCTCCTTTCCCCTGTAAAAACAGTTTTTCCTCTGTAATTTATCTTTATGTTGTGGTGTTTTCTTTTTTTCCTCTCTACTTGTTCAGACTCCCCACACCGATTACTCTGAGGTGGGTCAGCTTTTGCTTTGTAACTTGAGGTTTTGGGGCGAAGAGCTGATCGCACCTTGTTTATTTCTGTTACTAGTTTATTCTAAAAAAAAAAAAGACAGTAAAAGTGATCTTGATAATAGGGTTCCAGTTAGTTTTGCTTTTCATTATTGAACTTTTGATGTGGCAGTTATTGGATATGTGACGACATTTCTTTCTTTCTTTTTTTTTTCTGAAATGGTTCAGTAGCTAGTTTGAAAAGGTTTTGTAAGATGATATAGTACATTTGTTAACCAGTAATCACACATTTGAACCAAAAGAAACCCATTACCAAAACAGTATGCATTTGTTGTAGCTACCTGGGGGACACTATCCCAGCCTTGTAAAACGAGGAATATTTCAGTTTAAATGCATTCTTAGCGTATGAGTTCCACCATGACCAGTGGACCCCACAGTATTCCACCCACACAGAAAGTTTTGCTTACTCGTTCTCTCTGGGACTTTATCACCAAGAAGTTTCTCTTGAGCCTAAAGCAAACAAAGAACCTCTAACATTAACTCATGTATTACAAAATGCTCCAAAAAGTTTGCGCTCCCCAACGGCTTTCAGTAAATTTAACAGCAATGCCTTCCTTTCTTCTCTTGATCTCAGCCATGTGGATAAAACATGACGCATTCATCCATGCCAAACTCAACAGACCATGAGCTCATTCTCTTTGAGGCTCAGCAATCCCCTCTTCCCTTTTATTAGACAGGAAATAAAATACATCTTCCCAACTCCTCACCCCTCTGTCAATTCAACAGGAAGTGTTTCCTCTCTTCTGGTCTTTTCTGACTCGCTTTCCTTAACTAAAAGTCTTGAGATGCTCGCCCTTCAGTGTAGGACACTTTAACTTCCTCCTGAACTTATTGCGGAGGGTAAGGTGTATAGTAGTTTGGCTAAATTCAAACTTTGCTCCTATTAACTCAGTCATTAATGCTGTGCATTTTTAACACCAGATTTCACTTTCTGCTGAGCCACTTCAGCACTGTGTGTGGTCAGTGTAGTACAGAACATGTGGTTAGTTCAGGCTCCAGCGAGGTTGCATTGTCTCGAAGAATTTCACAGCTAAGAGCACTTTTGAACTGTTTCCTCTGTATATATCCTTCCAGTTTATGATTGTTTAGAAAGAAAAAACACACACACACGCACCCTGCACCAGATGCCTGTACACGTCTGTTCTTATTTTTTGAACTTTGTCACCTCTGGTAAAATTAGAGTGAAGTGCACACTCGGACTCTCGTAGTGCCCAGTGTGTTGATAATTACTCTGGTTCAATTGAGATAACAGCCAAAGATAAGAGCAATTAAACTGCTTCTTATCTGCGAGCAGCTGCCAGTGTGTGTGAAGACTTTTAACTGTCAATCGTGAGCACTTGTACAGATTATTATTTTATTTAAAAGCCACTGATAATTTAAAGTATTTCTTTACTTAATTGAGTGCATAAAAGTATTTGAATAGTTCCAAACTTTTGAGCTGTATGTGAAATGTGTATGCTTTGGTTTTGGTTAGATTTTTTTCCCTCAAATTGTTTAAAATAAATGGCAGTTTTTATAGGTTTCCTTATGTTTAACAATTTTGATTTGGTTTGGCTACGTTAAGGCCAAATGTTTAGTGCAATTCATGATAGAATTGAGCCAGATCACCAAAAAAACTAGTAATAAAACACCTATGCCTAATGAATCATGACACCAATTATATAAGTATCGGTAAAACACGTTCGTGTTTTCTAGTTTTTGGTAAAATAAAATAAAAAATAAAAATATTATAATCTGTCTCATTTTTAACCAGCGGTAAACAACAACAATGTTACTTTTACTTTGTGCATTTGCAGAATTTCAAACATCTAAACCTTTACATTGTCTAAAATATTCACTCAAAAATCTTGTATTGACACTTAAGCAGATATTTTAATCTCAAATTTGAAACAATTTCAATATTTACATGAAGATTTATTTCATTAAATATTGAATATATGAACCTAACAGCCCAGTATATCATTTAAACTTATCTACAAACCTGATTAATGTTTATTATTGGTTTAGAGGTTGGAACCAATTCTTTTCTAAAGTAGGACTCTTTATCTCTACCCTTGACCTTCCACCTGTGCCTCATATATACATCTAAAGGCTGTCTCAAATTACAAAAGGCTACCCATTGGGTCAAACTCAGACACATGCAGAGTGAAGGGAATTTGGACAGAGGAAAGAGGTGACAACAGCAAGTTAAGATGGTGAAAGATCTGTCAGAAGCTGTCATAATCCTAACAAGCAAGTGTTGGCAAGTTTACGCCTGAACGAATTGTCAGTAAATACTTTCAAATTTAATGACCCAGAAATGTCTTGTGGAACTCTGCAACTTATTTTTCAAGCAGAGAAAAAAAAAAAGTTTGTCAAATAATACAAATGGAGAATTTCTGCACTGGTAATTGTGTATTTAAAATACTTTGATAATATTTTAGAATTTTCTAAAATATGCTTTACATCCTTTTCTCTTTGTCCTCCTCAGACTCCCATGAACCAGGCTTCCACTCGCTCACACTGTATTTTTACCGTGCACATCTGCAGGCGTGAACCTGGCTCGGCCACCCTGCGGCAATCCAAACTCCACCTGGTGGACCTGGCTGGGTCGGACCGGGTTAGCAAGACAGGTCTAGATGGGCAGCTACTCACTGAGGCCAAATATATCAACCTCTCACTCCACTATCTGGAGCAGGTGGACACTTGTATTTTTAATATTAAAAATAATAGACAGGTATTTTTACCCTTTCAGTTTGAGTGTGAGGATTTCATCATAAATTCATGTGCTTTTAAAAACTTCTGCATGTTTTAAATATCTGTGGTCAATGTCTCAAAAGCAAATCCAAACAAGAAATTGTGAAACTAAAATGAGGTGATCATGTATTGTTGAAGGCTTTCTGATATTTTCATATAATAGAGGTACAAAATAGCAACTGCAATTCTTTATTTCCTAGTATGCTCAGCTCCAGAACATTTTAAGTATGGCTAAAGGGAATAGCAACGTTACAAAATTGTGAAATCTTCAGCATCCCAATTTTTTTTATAACATGTCACTGGTTTGAAGTGCAGGGAATAATATGGTATAATCAAATGAAATAAAGATAATGATTCAAAATAAGAATTACCTTTTATTGTAACTGTTAAAATCAAAGTCGAAGTAATTGTAATAATGACTGATTTTATATATTTATAATTTCCTAACTATTTGAGCTTTCTCTGATTTGGGGTTGTAGAACTTGTTACTGTTCCCATGAGTATTTAAGATCTTTGTGTCAAAACGTGTGACTGCCACTGTATGTATTGTTTTACAAATATGTCTTTTACTTTGTTCTCCTCAGGTGATAATAGCATTGTCAGAGAAGAACCGCTCCCACATCCCATACAGAAACTCAATGTTGACATCGGTTTTGAGGGACAGCCTTGGGGGCAACTGCATGACGACTATGATCGCCACGCTGGCAGTTGACAAAAGGAACCTTGATGTGAGGATGAGCAACGCGGTCATTTTCATGCACAATATTCTGTTAAAAAATAAGAACAATAATTAAAAAAAAAAGAAAGAAACATGGAAAATCAATGGAAAATTGGATCAAAACATAAAGCCTATTTCAAATAAAGTCCTGAGTCAAATGGGATAATTTAGGAAATGCACATTATTTGTAAATGTCAATTGTAAATGTATGTACATAACTTTCTAGCTTCTCTTGAAGCAGCAGCATTTGCATTTATGTGTATTTTGCAGATAAATAATTAGGGATGCACAATCTTATCTGCATGGTATCGGTATCGGCCGATATTAGTGAAAATGTTAAATATCGGACATCGGCCATTCCATCAAAATAACTCACTGATATAAAAGGCTCTGTTTCTGTAAGGCGCTGTTTTTGTATGACCGTTCGATTGTTGTCATTGTGTTAGAGAGAGTAAATGTCATGAATAAATTTGACATTAAACATAATCCAAGTTGAAGTGTTACATCATTTTCAGCTACTTTTTTGGCATCTGCATTTGGTAGCAGGCTAAATTGACAAAGACCATGCAGAACAACATAGTATTTTAATTCCACAGCAGAGAAAGCTATGTAATCTCTGTAATTAGGTATCGGTATTGGTATCGGTTATTGACCAAATAAGTTATAACATATTGGCATATCGGATATCGGCCAAAAATCCAATATTGTGCATCCCTATAAATAATGACACATTGTTAAAACTGTTTTTTACCAGGAATCCATCTCTACGTGTCGCTTTGCTCAGCGTGTGGCTCTCATTAAGAATGAGGCGATACTGAATGAAGAGATGGATCCTGCCCTGGTGAGTCTGCCAGACACTCATACTTCAACAATTGCTTCAAACACCAATCACACCACAAAGGCATAACTTTTTTTTTTTTTCACATGACCAGACGATCCATTTAAACCATATGGCTCTGATGAGCCACTCATGTTGTAAGAACCGTGATTCTACTTGTAACAAAATCTAACCCAGCATGTGTCTAATCTTTCACCATCAGATTTAGATGTTTTTAGAGTTGCTCAGTCATTCTCAAAGCAACAGTTTTCAAACCTTCAAGACTCAAACTTCTATTTATCTCGTGATATTTAGACTGCACACTTGTCCTGTTTGCAATGCTTTCTATCTTGTTTACATGCAAACAGTTTTTATTTAGCATATTTTATCCTAATGCCTAACATCCTGTAGAGAAAAGAAATCACCAAAGAAGTAATGTGTACAACTATTTCTACACTTTGTTGAAAGAAAGTACAAACTGAATGCATAAAACAAGTTTTCTGTCCAGAAGTTGATTTGAGGACAGTTTTAAACAGGGTTAGCAGATTTTTTTTTTTTTTTTTTTTTTTTTTTTCAGTATGTATTGATGTTTTACTAAGTTGGAGAAAAATCTTGAGAAGATGACTGCAGGGATCTTACAATTATAGATTTTTTTTATTATTATTATTTTACAAAGTCCAAATGCATGCTCATTTAACTGCTTTGCATTAAAATTTGTCACGTGAGTGGCAAAATTAAGTTCACATAGTAGTTTCACCATTCTGACAGGAATTTATCTTCTATTAAGTCTGGTAGTTGTTGAAAAGACCTCTGGGGGCATCAGTTATAAGCCATACCAGCCATACCATATCCATGTCGTCTGCCTAGAGCTGCCGCAGAATAAACTGCTACTGTATTACTGCTACTGAGATTTGGCTGGCCACTTGCAAACCCTACAGAGGTATTTTTAAGAGAGTCTGCGGCTGGCCCAGTAATTGTGACAGTGTCTGGCTGCTCCCAACTGGGTTCGACACGGTTACAGCTCCAGGCAAAGCCAAGCTCCATGGACAAACTTCTTGTCTCTGTTTATGGATACATAGTGTGTTTCTCATTTTGTTTGCTGGTTCTTTTTCCAAACTGTATCTCTTTCTGGCTTACTGAGATGACAACATCGCAAAGCCTGCAGCATAAAACTAACAGTGTTATTCATTGGGGTTTGGGGTGGTGCTGTCTGCTTGACTGACTTTTGGACTTGAAGCTTTTCGTAACTGATTTGAAACTGTCTACTTTTCTTAAGTGTTTGCCACATTGACTGAATGGTTTTCCTACTACAGGATACTCAATAGATTTCCATACAGCAGGAAACTGGCCAGACCAGACAAAATATTTACTAAGTCACTTATGGAACAGCGAAAGAATCAAGTGCTGAAAAGTGACCTGTGGATATAATAATGTCTGCCACAGTGACTGCACCATATAAGGTTGTTAGTTTCTCTAAGGGCACTAAGGTCAGCTTTAGGCAAGAATGATGCTGGTCTGTTTCAGTCAGTGGGGATTTTTTGCTGTTATTGGATGTGTTCACAACTTGCTGCCACATTTGTGTTGTGTACTTAAGTGAAACTTGAGCTTTATGTGTAAGAATGCCTAATGTAAGTTGAACTGGTTTGCCCGTATACGTTAACTTTTCGCATTTCAATGAAGGCCAATTGCAATGTTAGTTGACTTTCCTCCTAAAGTCTAACTACTTAGAGGCTTACTTGTTAGCTTGAAGAGACCACTCCTTATTAGAGTCTACCTGTTAAACAAACAGAGACTTCTTATCACTAACCAGAGAAACATTTTTAGAAAGTGAGTGTGAAAATTCCTTGAATTTTCTTGTCTTGTCAATATGATGAGCAGCCTTTTAGAAAATAATCAGTTGTGTAATTTAGGAAACAAAGACAATGTGTATTTTTTTATTTTTTTCTCTGGTGGAGGATATGAACCTTGCCGAAAGGGGTAATGAAAAACTTTGTCTCCTCTCCTCTCATAAAAAGAGCAGCATGTTTGAGCGAGACTTTGTGTAATATTGTATACAAGCACTTAGTGTAAAACCTATGGTTATGCTGTAGTCAGTGCTTACAGTTCACTGTGGGTGGTTTTGTGCACAAGAAGAGGAGGTAATTTTAAGTTTGGACTGTGTTAATGCTTCATAGTTAATTGAGTATTATGTTAGTCAGCATGTAGACAGTGATAGACACACTGTAGATAGAATAAATTTATATCTTCATGCCAAAATGCTACATTGTTGCTCTGTCATGAGTTTTAAAAAAACGCCATAATCAGTCACATGATCTGGGTCTGTTTTTATTTTAGAGTGTATGTAAGTGTAAGCCCATTGTGGTTTTGAAAGGCCAGCGTGGGACTGGTGCTCTGAAATAAACTGCATCATTCCGCTGACCAACAACTGGCGGTCAGATTTTTAAGGATGCAGCTGGGAGAATTAACATCAGACGGAGTGGTTCCCCCAAAAAAGACAGACAGGGAGCTGCTTTGGTCAGGAATGGTCAACCATGATATTGAATGTTCAAACATGTGATATGGGTGGATTAGGGGCAGAATTTTTGTTTAGAAATGTGGCACCATACCAAAACCACAAAGCAGGTCTGTTTCTTTTCACAAGCATCTTGAGCTGAGTGTCTGTCTGTTTCACTGGTTTTGATTTTCCAGTTAGAAAGTATGTCAGCTGAAATACCTGTATTCATTTTGTGTTAGATCACTCAGTCTGGCCTTTGACCTTGTATCGCTTCTCTATGACCTTTTGCTCCCTAGCATGTTTGTGCCAGACTGTTGCTGAGTGACTCACACACAGTTGTTATTTTCTTCTATTACTGACAGTTTGAGCCTTCAAGCCTGCTCTAATTATGAGTGTGTGTGTGTGTGTATATTTTAAGTGACAACAATCAAGTTTAACATTAAAAAAAAACCTTGCCTATTATTACACAAGTCCCATTTTTGCCATCAAATTTGCTACAATTGCCAAAAAATGTGGACAAAAGTCATCCCGAGGTGTTTCTCAGGTCAGGTATTCTAACGTTACCAGTAGGTCCTTTGAAATTTGGAGGCCAGATGAACATAGCAGACTGTCTTTTCTTCTTACATGTTTTAATTAGCACATTGTTGAATGGGTTTTGTGGACAATTCTTCTTATAGTTAGTGCCACTGCCCTTATCTTTTTAACTGAACATTCAAGGAACTAAATGTTGACTTATTTCCTCTACAAAAACATTTTATAGTTTTATTTCTGCTTAGCTGTGGTATAAAAGTTAGTCTTCTTCTCTTGGTTAATGTTTCAGAAATGTTTATCTTGGTAACATCCTGATGCATGCTCAATAATTCAGGTTGATAAATCTAACAAGGTTAAGTCAGGTCCTCTGGACGGATTCTTCTTTGCCGAAACGTTTCGTCTTTTATCCAACAGACTTCAGCCTGAGGCACTGTAACAACTCAGTCTTATAAACAGCACCTTCTCATAGTGGATCAACCAGCTTGCTGGTGACAGCCAAAGCTAGTTGTTCACAACAACTAGTTGATTACAATTGTTAGGGCAGTAACTGGAAGTTTTTTTTATGGTAAATGGTAAATGGACTGTACTTATATAGCACCTTTCCATCTTATCAAGACATTCAAAGCGCTTTACACTACAATCTGTGTCCTTATTTACCCGTTCATACTCTACTAGAGCTCTACAAAGCTAATCGAACAAATCATTCTAAAGAATAATCGGTGCTTTATCACATTCATACACTGATGGGACACATCAGAGGCAATGAGGTGTTCAGTGTATAGTCCATGGACACGTAGGCATGTGACTGCTGGTGGATTCAAACCCCCAACTCTTGCATTGGAGGATGACTGCTCTAACCACTTAGTCACCCAGAGCCTTTATCAGCTCCTCTCTGAACTCCTCACAACATTCTTCCTTCTTCAGCTTCCACCATTTGGTCATCTGTCTGATTTTACTTTTTGTCTCTTCTTCATAACAACAGTCATTTTTCACACTTCCAATGCTGTCTGGCCATGCTGTTCCCTGCCACAACCTTCCGGTCCCCAATCTCCCTCAGGTTTCCTCTTCTACACAGAATGTAGTCTACCTATACTGCCTCCACTCTTATAGGTCACTCTATGTTCCACAATATTTTAGAAATGTGTTGACTACTGCCATTTCTATTTTCTTGGCTCAATCCACCACCATCTGTCCTTCCTGGTTTCTTTCCTTGACATCAAACCTACCCATCATGTCCTCATCCCCTCTCTTTCCTTCACCAACATTTCCATTCAGGGCTGCTCTGATCACCACTCTCTTCTCTCTGAGAATACTCATCATTCCGTCCAGATCTTTCCAAATAAGTATCTTCTCCTCTACAAGTGTCTTATGTCGGATGCCCGTCCTGACACAACCCTCACCATTTACCTGGGCTTGGGACCAGTACTAGACATTCACTGGCTTGTGCTCCCTAGTGGCTGGTTTAAGTGATGCATAAAAACAAATAATTAAAAGTTAAGAGTTTGTGACATAGAGAATTTACGGTCTGCAAAGTCTCTGTCTCGTCAGACTGTATTTACTGACTCTTATAAGGCTGTTTTTATTGCTGCTTTTTATTACTATTTTTGTTTTCCTCCTAAGCATACATCATTATGTTGTCACAAGCATGATACGCTGCAAGATTAAGGTCATTCGAAAATCTTTTGTAAATCCTTGTGCATGCCCACAATTAACTGTGTGTTTTGTTATGTAAACACAGGTACCATCCTTTTTCGTGTTTATGTGTTTCAGCTGATTGCACAATTGAAAAGAGAGGTTGTGTCACTGGAAGAAGAGCTGGCAATGGTGACAGGACAGCAGCGAAATGATCGGCTAACTGCTGAAGAGATTTGGAAGTAAGCCACCTCATCTGCTTCAGTGGTTTTAATCTTTCAAACTGCACTCCCAGTCAAAACTTTGAGCATGCCTGCCCATTTGGGTCAGTTCATACTTTGATTAGTGGCAAAGAGACTTCCAGAAGAACAGATGTGGAAATGCAACATGGCAGAGGTCCAAAGTTTGTTTCAGTTTAAGTGAATGCACTTATAAAGCTTAAGTTAAAAGAGAACGTTAAGATAAACTCATCATAGGCCTTTCATCACAGAGATATGATGTAGATGTTTTTATCACTTCAAAGCTCCCTCAGATGTTTACTGAGCACCTCAAACCTGTAGAAGAATAATGCTTAAGGTGTTTCTAATGCTGCTGCTGTCTGCGTTGATAAAAGTAGCCAAATACTTGAACAAATATCATGATTTGTAATTAGTTAAAGCTTTTACTAATGTGTCAACATAATGGAGGGGTGTCAGTGTTGCACTAAGTTTTTTTTTTATTCAAACCAGATGTAACAGAGAGGCACAATTAATCAGGGTCAGAGTTTAAACCAGAGGTCTCAGCAAAAACTTTCCAGACTGCCACTCAAGAGTTGATACAATTCCTTTTATTTTGTCACCCCAAGTCTTTTTTTTTTTTTACTTTTCAGCCTTTAACCAGGTGATTATCTCTTATTTCCAACATTTTTGTGTTTTTTTTTTTTTAGGTCCAGCTCACCCTGGAAACCTTTAGTAATGACTAATGTGACCACATGGCATGGCCATGACAACTTTTTTAAAACTTCATTTTATGTATTCCCATGTGCTAATTAACAGCACATTCAGTTTATTGCTTTTCTTATTCTAAATGTACATAAAGTGCATCATTTAGTATGCTATATTTTTTCCTCTTAGAAGATTGTTGCAGCAAATCAATTTTAATTCAATTTCATTCAAGCCACTTCATTTTTTTTGTTTTATTTTTTCATCTCCGATTGCTTTATGGCAGATCCTCACATTGGCACAATTTTGTGAAAACGTTGAGATCCCACTGTTTTTATTCTTTTGATTTATTTATTGTTGTCCTATAAAATGTACATTGCATCACAGCTTTTGCTTTGGAATCCAACTTTACATTACAAAGCTGTGCTATTCACCAGGGATCCAAAACAGTACTACATTTGTTCATAATATAAACTTGTAAAATATGTTGAATTTTAACCCTTGTTTTACATGTTATTAGTAAATTTGTGTTTTTATTAATATTTTTATTTTTTATTTTGTTTAGGTTAGAGGAGCTGGTAAAGGCTTTTATTAATGACCCTGATCCAGATGTGACACTCTCACTGGGACCAGACATGAGGAAAATTCAACGCTGTTTCTCCCTACTGAAGGTAGAATATTGAAAGTTGTCTCTGTATTTACAATATGTAGAGAAAATTATTATTTTTAAGCTTTATTTTGTGTCTGATCTCTTCATTTGTTTATCGTTTCCTATGTTTGTTTGTCTTTCTAGTCACTGCCATGACTGCTTATGATTTACCATGCAAGTGTTCCTTTAAAAGGTCATTTTAGCGCAAAGACTAAAAAAATGATCAATACATTTTTGGATAGGTTTTATGTTAAATGATAAAGGATGTACCTGGGACCCTGCGTACATAATCTCGTTCCACCACATGTACCACATGAGATGCGAATGACAAATACATCTATCTGACTCTGTCTCTAAAGGTCATCATAAAAAGAAAAAATAATCAGAAAACTGAACAATTTCCCAACTGTGACAACAAAAATGATTCTATATTGACCATCACAACATTTATCATTTATTTGACAAAATTCATTTTTATTTCCTTTTATCATTTTATTAGATGTTTATCTTTAATTTGGTCAAACCAACTCTAGAATGTTCTGTATAACAAAATATTATAGTTCTGATTGCATATTACATATAGTTATCATCTTCAGATTTGGAAGTTTAATACAACCCAGATCTGTAGAATTTATCCAGGTCTACAGGCTTAGTGTTTACAGTGTTTTTAGAAAAAAATGTTCATGAAATACATAAGCTTTTGTTTTATAAAACAAAACAATTAGTTATGTATTTAATTGTTCGTTTCTCAAACAGCTTTTGTTTTTCCGCTGCTTTCAATAGCCAAAAGGAAGACACTTCAGTGCTTACAGTGTTACTGAGCTTTGACTTGGTTCAAGCTTCAGCATCCTCCAGATGCAGATCCAGATCCCACTTGAATGAGTGTTTATATCTCCTACAGTTTGTTATGATCCACAACTTCTATCTTCTGTTGGGTTTACATTCCAGCAAGCATCACCCTCGTCATACTCGCATGTTTCTGAAGGAATTTTTCCATTTTTATTCAATTTTTTTCTTTGTTTTGAACACTGGTTTGCTCCTTCATGCTCGGCACTTTTCTCGTTTCCATGTCTGTTAGCATTAATGTTCCGTGTGGTCTTATTTATGAGTAATAAAACTGCATGATGACTTGAAAATGAAGTTGTTTTACAAACTCCTCCTCTTTAATCTGATTTCATACAAATATTCAGTTTTGTTCATTTATTTTGTTCTATTGGCAGGTAGTTTGAAAATAAATCTTGTTTTTCATAACTCAGTAGTTTATCTTTTTTTCCTTACAGTCAATGCTTTTGGACAAACAAGGTGAACGAAATGTGCGCAGTGAGCTACAACATTCACCGACAGGAAGGAAAGAAAGTGTCAACACAACAGAAGTGGCTACATTAAAGGAGATGCTTAAGCAACGTGACAATGAGATAAGTATCCTTTGAAATAATGATTTAATAAAGCTAATTTTCTGAGTTTTGAGACACTACTTGTCAAGGTGTGTAAGTTGTTTTAGGACTTATTAGAATATCTTAGTGGGACCACATAGGAAACAGCGAAATAAATATTTATGCTGTGTGGATCTTGAAGCTCCTCACTATAGTAGGCTGGGTGCAACTCATTAAAACTGAACTTCTTGAACTTTTATAACTAAGAAAGTGCCTCAGACAAAATATAAAATATCTGAGAATTTACTCAGGACAACAAAAACTTTCTTACTGAAGTATCCATGAAGTTCAAACACTTCAGTTATCTCTTGAGCATTACATACTCCAACATGCCCGCCCAGTTGAACGTCCTGTGCCTAACAGCAAAACATCTGCTTTTCTTAAAAACATTTTTTTGTGTGTGGTTTTGTCTGTGGAGGTAAAGTTTGCTCCTTTTTTCAAACTGCGTTATATACTTTGCAGAGAAAGAACCCTACTGTGTCTGCTAGTTTGCACATTACATATAAACTCTTGGTTCAACTCCTTGTAGCTGTATCTTTTTCATGAATAGAGCAGCAGGTTCTATTAACTTGAATAAAACACATGCCAAATATTGCACAATTGTGGGGTGTTTTTTTTTCTTTTGCTGTTGGCACAATTATAGGAGAAAATAATTGGTAAGGAAATTGCATTGCAATTTTATTAATGGGATGACCAATTAGAAAAATTAATTGAGCATGTTATTTAAAAATCCACAATACCAGAGAAAATGTTCTGTGTTGTTACACTGTTGGATCACTGCACTTCTATATACCTAAATAATGAAATATCAATCATCTATTCAGTGCCAATGCTCCTAAATACACTTGAAACCCAGTTTAATGTGTTTGCACATATAAATCTTAATCTCATGCCTGCAGATAATGATAAATGCTATTGATCATAATTATAGTTCTTGTATTTGTATATGTGATTTCTAATGACTTTAATAGATTATTTTCCACTCAGCCCATCTTGTGGTTTGTCAGTAAATCCCAGTACATTAGAAGGAAAACTGAGATATCCGCTTGATTATTTAACCCACAAAACCTCAGCTCTCTAAAATAAACTAAGCATTATCACACAGGTATTTTACCAAAGTGTTTATTGGACCAAATGCATGTAATATGAGTTCCTCACTCATTTGTATATTTTTCCTCTCAAACTGTCACACACAGGTTTTCGCATTATGCAAACATAAATACCTAAATTGTTCTTGCGCATGTTAAGAAGCACGTATTTCAGTCCATAATGTACACATGCTACTGACCATATTGCTTTTATGTTCCTTCACAGTGAAGTTTGTATATATAGTTGCAGTAGTCTAAACAACAAGTCCTTTAGACAGAGTAGTCTGTCTGCAGCATGTAACATTATAAGTTTACCAAGCATATAGCGGTGTGACGTAATCTCCAGCCACTCTTCCAGCAGGATTAAATCAAATGTCTACTAACCAAGCATGCTGGCTCTATAAGTTCTTCTCGCCATCAAATTCAGTGTGCTAAAGCTGTATCTGTGAGACACCAATGTCTGTGCTGCAGGTTCACTGTTCCCACACTGACACTGATTGTAGGAATGTTGCTTGTAGAAGTGCATATTTCTTACCCTGCTTGTTTCCAAACATGGTTACCTCTGCCAGGGAGTTTGAGCACCTGGTAATGCTTAGCGGACTTTGCTGGTGGGATGGTACATCCACTAATAGCATAATGGTGGAGCAAAAGAAACTAATAAACATTGCAGACTTTTCGAAAAAGCGTACTGTAGCATTCCCATGAGTAATCCTGCTTCAGTGGTGCCTTTGGCATCAAAAGTCAAGGGGGTACAACAATCTCTAGATCTTTGGTCAACATCTAACTCATCACTGATGTTTCATACGATCTCATTTTCCCATTATTAACAGACCAGAGCCACATAAAAGGGGGATCATTCACAAGCTAATGTAATGAAATATAAGTGATACATTTATTATAAACACCTGAACTCAAAGGCTATGTTGCTTTACATTACTTGCCTTTACTTTTATAAAGGTAGTTTTCTTCAAATGGCAAAGCTTTATTTTTGCTGTTTACCAGGCTTTCCACTGTATTTATTGGTTTGTATTGATAGCTTACAATAATGACCACCAATAGCTAGTTAATTATCTGCCAAATCTGATAATGTTGTTTATCATATTGTGATGTGTGTCTATATATTATTTTCTCTGGATGGTTAGGGTTAGGGTTAGATGCAAACAGTGAGCAGGATAGAGTGTGCTCTCTAGTTGTCTTGTTTAACTCTCTGTGCAGAACAATACTATTTAAAATTGAGATTACAGAGAGCACATTCTTCTTGAAAACTAAGAAGATTTATAAACTGTTGGAAAGTCTACCCCATCCTCACATTTCAATATACAGTATTGTTTGAAATCTTGACAGCTGTTTGTATACAGATGAGGCAGCTGAAACAGAATTTCAACAATATTAACCAATATTACATGGCTCTGTACTGAGTTGATGAATATGGAAATCCATCGTCAAGTCCAGTACTTAATGCAGAAGTGGGGAGATTTACTGTTTGGTGGTTTCACCAACATTTGATTAAATTGTGAATCAAATGTATAATTTATCTGGGGTAAATTCTGAACTGGACTGATAAATGTAAATGGTGGCAGTTCTGATTGAGGGAAATTACCTCAGATGAAACTGGTGTAGATGAGATCTAATGATTGCATAAAGTGTTGCGTGGCTAATCAGAAGACTTTGCGTCGGCATGTCTTATGTATGTTGGACAGCTGGCTCTGTTCTCACAAATCTGTTCTCTAAACACACATTGACCTTTGTTTTTTTCATTCAAAACAACTTTTTGATTGTTGTTGGAAATGTTATAAAACATACAAACGTATACCATTAATAAGATAATCACTTTGTTTCAAACGAAAGTTATGAACTTATGAAAACTATGAAGATCACACTAACATGTTCAGCTCAAGTTAAAAGAAAAATGAAGATATTATGTTGGCAAAGGAGGCAAATCTAAGAATTTACCTCAGGAGGCCAAAATGCTGATCAGGCTTCAGGTTAACCAGCTATCTCCTAAGATACTCTGTTGGTAATAACATGTTTGGGTTTTGTCTGGAAATTTTAGATGTCTTTGTTATGGATGCTAGCATACTTCTGGTATGAAACATATTTTGTTTAGGTGGGATATATTTCTCTAAGCTAAAGGTTTATTGCGAAAAATTGGTTGACAATTATTTTTCTTGACTGAAATGAAGTCAAAAGTGCTGCATCTATATTTTTCCTGTAACAGTAACTGAAATTTTGCATCTCAAGTGAATGAAAACATGTCATAATTTAAAATGCTTATCACTTACTAAGTATTTTACAGTACATTGAAATTGGAGCAATTAGAGGCACATTTGTCAGCAGCAAAATTAAAAACATTTACTTAATTTCCTGCAATGTCATTGGACAATCTAATGAAAAATGACGAGACAGATGAAGAAAGGACATCGTGATTGAGTCTAACCACAACTTGTTGAGCTAATGTCATGTGAAACAGCCCACAAATCTCATGCGCAACCTTCAGTAGATATTTTCACCAGCCACTTGAGTCTTGTGGTAGAGTTCACCATAAAGATCTCAAATGCCAGAGATCTCAGTAATGGAAAAACCTGGTGAACAGAAGTCTGAAGTGATTACTTATATGAAGTGACACAGGTCCTCAGAGCAGACTTTTTTTTTTTTCTGTAAAACTTGTCCTTCATAGTTCAGTTGGAAGTTTGTCAAGTTTAGATTTTGGCAGTTTTGAGAAGACATAATGGTTGGTTTTATTGGAAACTGTAATTGAAGCCTTGGCTTCTCCGTGTTATTGTTCCCACTGACATCCTCTTTGTATCGACTGACAGAAACATAAATTGCCTTTTCAGGTCCCCTCAGACATTATCTTCTCATCATCCACAAAATGACATTAATATTTTTTTTTTCATTTAAACGTCCCATATTATCTGATGACCACAATAGTTAGTCTTGCCACAACGATGTCTGTTAATATCATATTAAGTAAGTGAATGAATAGTTGGCTAATGTACTGTGTGGCTTTAAATTATGGGTTGGGATAAGGGCATCAAGCACACCTTCATTTAATAGAAGAAAACCAGGCTTTTACATAAAGCTACTACTTGAAGCGTTTAGAGTTTAATGGTTTATTATACAGGTATGCATAAAAATCAGGTTGGTTACCTCTTTTTTAAAGCTTACTTGTGAACTGTCTTTTCATTTCACACCTGTGGAAATAGTAATGAGCAACTATTAGACATTAAATACGTCTTTATTTAAGTGGATATTAAGGGATATTATGAAGCATAGCAACAACACATCTAATTGATGAATACATTTGAAAGGGCTGACGAAAAATTGTTTTGCTTCAGTGTTATTAACGAGTAATGTTAGCCAGATGAATTCAGTTTGAGCTGAAATTTGAACCTGAAGATGGAGTGAGGTGTAAAGTTGGAGGCAGAAAGTGAAACAAAGGAAACAATTACTGTAAATTTTCCCACTACAGATTTTTATGTGACAAAATAATGTTCATGGATATCGAAATGTTAATGGGAAATGCACATTTCATCTTCTGTTATAGTGTTTTATTAATTAAAAGCAAATTGTGTAAATAAAAATAATAAAGTCTGCAACACAGACCAATGTATATTAAACTTAATTTGTATGCACTGATTTAAAAAACTGTATAAGCAAAAAAGGATAAACAAATAACAAGAAGAGGGTTTAAAATAAATATAATATATGAGTAATATGAGTAGTTCAAAACTGACCATTTATTTTAAAAAGGGCAATTTTACAAAGCCAAATGTTGCATTAGATTTAAATGCATCATGTATGTTTTAATAAATTATTTGACCGTCCAGATAAATAGGTGAAAATACAATAGTTTTTCCTAAATGTATTGAATGCATGGACCTTATTTTTTTGCACCACATTTCACATTTTTTCTTGTAACCATCCAATTTGCCTCAGTTCCACCCTGACCCATCTACATTTGGACTCAAGTGGACAAATATATGCAAAAACCCAAAAGTAAAGGAAGATTTGGGAAATTTTTGGCAGAATCTCTTCAGTTCATTTGGGTCCTCTTTCCCGTTACTAATTCATCCCAGACATGACACTGTCCCGGGCTTCTTAGGTCAGATGCTGAACACATGTCAGCACTTTGACATTTAAGAATTTACAATGAATGTTATTCATTAACTGAAAATAGCTACTTGTGAGTGCATAAGAGTGCGAAATATAAAATTAACTAGTGGGTATAGATTTTAAATCCTTCAATGTTTCTCTGGGGGTATTTAGGTTAAAATTGTTATTTTTTTCTATCCTTTAAGAACTAGTCACATCTGTTGAAACATGTTTGTGTGTGTAGAGGGGTGGGGGGTCTGTTGTTGAGTGTAAGAACTCTTATTCCAGTATTTTGATCAAATAGTGTCTGTACAGTAGATTCCTTGACTCGTTCCTTCAGGTATCCTAGTGAAGATCTTGAAAAAAGAAAAACAACGGGCAGATGATGCTACAGCTCAGCTTGGTAACATCACCAATTGCAAAAATCTGTCCTCCCAGACGTCCTCGAGCATGTCAATGGTGTCCCAGTTAAAAGAGGCAAATGTGGACTTCTTTCTAGAAAAGCATGGAGGACAAGCGTCCACAAAGCTTCAGATGAATGAAGGAAAAGTGGAAACCTTAACGGCAGAATACGGTGGAAGAATGTTCACACTGCCACAGTGGAAAGATGGAAACACAGACATCTTGTTCACAAACTGTGCAGAACATGCAACCCCAGTGTTTCAATTTCGAAGAAGAAATGAAAATGTCTTTGCAGATGATGAAAGAGTGTCTACAAACCAGCAGATGATAGACAGGAAGATGGACACCTTTCCAGTGAACCATGAAGCTTTTACAAGTCTCCAGTTGAAAGAAAGAAACTTCCAAACGAACCATTCAAGACAAGTGTCTGCCTCGTCTCAGGTGAAAGAGGAAAACATGGACACCTCCCCAGAAGTCCATGGAGGACAAATGTTAACGAGGCCACAATTAAAAGTAGAAAACATGGACATCCATATTTTACAACATGGAGGACAAGCTGCTCAGTGCAAGAAAAGAGGTATTTCCACTTTCATTACTTTTTTCAGAAATCAGTATTTTACTAACATAATAAATGCAATATTAGTATTCAAATGTTTAAGAATTTGCTGATTTGCAGTGAGCTGGCTTATCCATCCATCCATTATATTTACCCGTTTGCAGATAGTTAAGCTTTAGAAATCAGTTTGAAACTGTTCACATCAACTTAAAGAAACACCCCATAAGTCAAGTCAAGTCAAATTTATTTTTAGAGCACATTTAAAACAGAACCTGTTATCAAAGTGCTTAACAACAACAGTGACAATAACAACAATAATCAATGAGAGTAAAATTAAAGAGAAAAAAATACAATACGCTAATGATAATAACTGAAAAATTAATAAAAAGCATTTAAAACATAGGATCACAGATAAAAAAACAAACACTAGATCAATTTACACTGTGTGAAATGCCTGCAAGAACAGATGAGTTTTAAGCAGGGATTTGAAGTGAGGAAGGGAGGTGGCCTGCCTGATGTTAGGGGGCAGGTTGTTCCAGAGTTTGGGGCCCATGACTGAAAAAGCCTGATCTCCTCTGAGCTTCAGTCTTGTTTTAGGAACAGCCAAAAGCAGCTGATCGGATGATCTCAGGGCCCGAGAGGGAACGTAAGGTTCCAGAAGCTCAGAGAGGTAAAGGGGTGCGAGGCCATTTAGGCACTTGAAGGTCAACAGAAGAATATTAAAGACTATCCTAGTACGAACAGGGAGCCAGTGAAGGGAGGACAGAACAGGTGTTCAGACCTACGAGTTCCGGTTAAAAGCCGAGCAGCAGCATTCTGGACGAGCTGAAGACGTGAGATGGAGGCTGATGGCTCTATGCTGATCCCAGCATCAAGTGCATTGCAATAGTCCAATCGGGTCGTGACAAAGGCGTGGACTAGTTTCTCAAGGTCGGGTCTGGACAATACTGGCTTGAGCTTAGCTACCTGTCTGAGTTGGAAGAAGCTTTTCTGCAGAACAGAGTTGATTTGTTTGTCAAACTTGGTCAGAGTCTAAAACCATAAGACTTAATAAAGCCATATAAATTACATTTCCACAGAAGTTAACAATGTATAATATAACTGTCGGCTATTATGAATTGAGAGAAGTGTAAGATTTTAATTTCGCCATTGTATGGAAACATACAGTGCTGACATTGTGATGACATTATTATTATTATTTATTTATTAACCTTTATTTAACCAGGCAAATCCCATTGAGATCACAGATAACTTTTGCAAGGGAGGCCTGGACCTGAATGCAGCCTAACATGCATGATTTTGGTCTGATGCATGATATATTGAGTGCTAAGGCCACAGAAAGGTGATCTTCCTCAGCTGGAATGTGGGCAGACGTTTTGTGGTCTTGACAATACGTGATGTTTCATTGTGGCTGCCGATGGGCCATAACCCATTCTTGATTTGAGGATTTTACAGACTGAAGAAGAGTCTGACATCATTTGAGATTTATTTCTTCAGAATGTCATCAGCGGGATTGAGAGTATTAAAATATTTAGCGCAGTCGTGACAGCAATGCAACATTAGACGATGCAGTTTATTAAACATGTAATTTGTTGCTTGTGAAAAGATGATGGGTTTAAAACTTGTTATGCTAACTGGATCATAAAGCAGAGGCCAAGAATATCACAGTGTAAACACAAAAACAATGTTCAGACTTGCCTGGGATTTGTACATTTGAACTAAAATCTAAGAGTACCTCAAAATCAAGCAAAAGTTCCATTCCTATTTTAGGAATTGATTTCTGTAATGTTCATTATCTTTTATTCTTATTCAAAAAAGTTATACCAAGTAAACATTCATTTCATTTTGTTCCCTACACCAGGATGTTTCCATATTGTTTACAATGTAATTATAAGTCTGTTTTGCCAGTATTGCCAGTATATTACTTAACATCATTCACTCTGACACTTTCCAAACATACAGCTGAAATTTACAGTCACCACCACTTTAAACACGAGTATCAAAGCTTGCTATGTGAAATTATGCAACAGTGATGACTGGATGAAGAGAAAGAAATGTGTAAATTGGAACTGATTAAACATCTGATCCAATCACAGTACTGCGGAGCTCCCCATATAATCTATAATCATAGAGACACAAAAACAAGTTGACTTTAGCTAAAACCTCAGAACTTAGACTATCATAATGGCTGTTTTGTGTTTACTTTGCTGTCTGCAGCTAACAGAATCACACACTTTTCCTGAAAATGTATGTGTGAGTTGGTGGGATGAAACTCAGCTTGTTTTATTCGACTGTTCCAAACGAACATCCGTTTTCAAGAAAAACATTAGACTTACATCTCCGTGCTGACTTCAGAATTGTGGAAGTACTGTCATGTCTCGGTAAATGTAATTTTACTGCATTAACTTCTGAAGGTTACAGCTGTGAAACACTTGTTTACTGTCAAAAACACGCCTTGCTCTTAACTTTGTTGTTTTGGTGATGATTCTTTAAGGTATTAATGTTGACTTAAACCTTTGACTTGATATATGTAGATGTACTGTATTTTTTGCTGTATAAGTTGCTATTTTTTTTTATTTTTTTTTTGCATAAGTTGCATGCCCTGTGACTTAAAGGATGAAGCGGCGTATTTTTTATAGATTTTTTTCCCCCCATATTTATAAACCAATTTTTGGCTGAGATATGACTGTTTTCATTCATTCTGACTGAAAATTTTGAACACTACTATTCTCAGCCACTAGATGGCACTTGAGTAGTATGGCATGCTATGGCGTGTTATGTAATAGGTAAAAGTGGCTATTAATGACACAATCGGCTTGCCATAGCCTGCCACCATCGTGTGCATGGAGCAACCGAATCAGCTTCATTTCACTGCGATGCCCCGGCGAAATGTAGTTGATTTGACCATCAAAGTGCATTTATTAAGGAAGCGTTCAACTGAGACACATCATTTACTATAAAATTGAGCTAAAAAATAATTGTTTTTAGGTGATTATCTTGTTAAATTTTGAAGAAATGGACAACGAGTCGCCCTCTGCGTGTTCACGTTTCCGCGTATCGGCTTTTGAAAATGCAGCTGATTTGACCGTCAAAGTGCATTTATTAAGCAAAAGGTAGACTGAGACACACCTTTACTATAATTTTGAGCAAACAAATAATTGTTTTTAAGTGTCAATCTTGTTAAATTCTTGTAACAAACGCGACGCGTCAGCGGTGATGCATAATAGATGCGACGTATACAGCAAAGTGACACATTTATGGATTTTTCCACTCTATTAGACATTTGGACTGATGCGACTTATAGGGCGGTGCGACATTTACGGCAGAAAATACTGTATCTAACTACAGAATTATCATCAGTGAAGGTGGATATGTTTCTCATTTCTAAGCCACAATTAAGAGGAATTATCTCTGGCCGTTTTGGTTTGCAATCCTAGACACAAATAGATAAGATGCTGTAAAATCATCTGATTGCTGCTTCATTTTCATGTTTTTTTATTTTATTTTTAACAATAATCCATTTTTGTGAACAGTGTAAGCTCTGAAGCAGAAGTTTGAACGAACTTGTGGTAAAAGCTAAAGATAAAAAGGAAATAGAGCAACACACGCTCAATATTTACCTTGTTTGAGATAAATGTGGCCTAAAGACTTCCAAATGTGATCTGATGAAGCAGCATACTGGTCTCTCTCACATGTTGTCTTATATTGATTTCCTTAGTTGCAGTTGATTGTGTAATCTGCTGTGGTTCATAGATTATGATCTAAACCTTTGAAGATAATGATGACCCAAGCACAGCAGGGTTTAGCTGCAGACAGCCGACCCGTCTTTGATCGTCAGTATTTTTTAAAGATTTAAATGCAAAAGGAATGCAGAGGTTAGTGACACTTAAACCAGTTGAGTGTTTATGCCTCAAGCCAGAGGCAGCATTTATTTGGCTTTCCTGTTTAATTTTGGCTAAGTGGAGCCTTAAGTGTGATGATAAACCCGAGTCCTTTAACAAGCTTGGTCAAAACCATCGGGCAGAAGGGTACGAGCCAGAAACTCATCAAACTGTGCTGCTTTTTGTCCTAACCACAGCTCGCTCATTCACTTTGACATTTTTTGTCAAGGTGCCAGTACAGTACACAAATGAAACCAGCAACACAGGGTCTCTGAAAGAAAGGTCTGTTGAAAAAGAGAATAACAGTGAAATGTTTAAAGTTAGTGAGGGTTAAATCAGTCATTTACAAAAGGGAATGAGAGATTCATATAAATGTGAGGTTTATAGAATCAGTGATAAATGATGTGCAGTGTACATTAGTCACTTACAAAGGTTTATGATACAGTATGAGGCTGAAATTATTATCTGAGTCATCTTAGAAAATCATTTTCCTTTCTTTTTTTATTAATATAAATGAACATTTAACAACAAAAAAAGTTGAAATGTTGACCAGACTTCCTAAAGATTCGATCCACACATTGAAATTTACTATAACGTAATTATTCTGATAAGTTACTGATCAGTTGTCAGTTACATAAGCATCACTCACTGACTTTTTTTTTTTTTTCTGGTTTAAAGAGCAATACACAAGTTCTTGAATAACTATGAAAAAACATAAATACCTTCCAAAAGTTTTTTTTTTTAAATTGCTCCTTCTAACTAAATGACTATACGAATGATGAACGGTAACACACATTTAATGTGGTCGAGACTGAGAGCACAGAAAATCATGAAATTCAGTGAGTGATTGTTCTCAATTTACTCAGCATTTATCAGATTCTTCTAGATGAGCTCATCTATAAGAACCCACCACTAATAGTTGCAGATATTTCATATAGACAGGTTTATTCAAGTGCACATCTTCAGAAATTTTAGTCTGGCAGACGTGGACTCTGATCAAGTTGTTGAAGCATTTCAAGGATTACTGACAAAGTAGTATTCAAAAAAAGTACAGTTTCACGAGCCAAGTGCTAAATAAGAGTATAGTTCTGTTTTTTAAAAGCTTACAGAATACTTGGAAAACCACTATTTGTATTAAAAACATAATCTGAAATCAATAGATTATTGGATGCATCTGAACAATTTTGATGTTAAGTTACTTTGTCATTACTTCTGCTTGTTTTAAATGGTCAAAATCAGACTTTCTTATATTTTCAGCTTTTCCAGTGAAGAGTGTGCACTAATTAACCCCTTTATTTTAATTTGATCTTCACATTTTATATGACAGAAATAAACCACACATGCAGTTCATTATCTGTTTAATATACCTATGTAGTCTTTTTCTAAATTAGGATATCATAAGGATGCTTCTTTGACAACGTTTAAATTGTATTCTCAAAGGTGTTCGTTTGGAATGGTATAAGTTTACTTTTTAAGTTCTTTAAAATATAATGTATTTTAGTTGGATGACAAACATGAATTCACCTAATTGCCTTAAATGTTGTTTTTTCAGGGTTTGGCTTGAAAGTGTCAGGATGTGACTAAGAATTGTCACAACAAAAATGAGTGAGAGTCTAGAACGCTTTCAATCACAGTAATCACAATAAAACACTGTAAAATTATGATGTTTTGTTTTTCAAAATGCTCAATTTTAAATACTTCAGCATTGCAGCTGCAACAATGTGTTTTCCTTGGGGCACTTTTTAAAGAAAGACTTTCCAAAAGTCTTTTAAATTGACAATAATAATTTATTGCTGTGCAGGAATTTAGAGCCGGTTGCTACGAAAAGTCCTTATGCAAAATCTAAGACTAATGTCAATTATTACAAATGGTGTTAAGTGATTAGATCATGCTTGAACATTAATTAAATTAGGTAATATCACCAAAATTGTTGGTAGCATCTATTCTTTGGGGGGAAAATACTTCCACTTCTACAATTCCCAGGTCCTGTAATTGCTTGCTCATAGTTACGTGTTCACCCTGGAATGTCCGTCTCATTTTCTCACACTTTGCACAATTTTTGTTCCTGTTTCTGCTCAGTTTGTAACCAATACTGTGCGCAGGACACAATTTCAGCTTGATCAGCCATTAACTAGATGGAAAAACTTGACGTTGTCCAGATAGAATCTGCATTTAGAGGGACAACAACTTTTAGGAGCATTTACAGAAGCATTAGATGATATGCTTCAAATGCTTGGGGCGTTTTTGACTTTGTGCAGAATCTGGAGCACATCAAGAGCAACATTTATAAACCATGCAGTTTAATGACTGAAACTGTAAATGGCTCAAGGTGTTTAATTTGTTTATCAAAATTGTAGTGAAGTTTATTGTATCTACTGGTAGTTAAAATTTAAATTATCTAACATACTCAGAATGTGCAAATTATTTCGAAAAAATACAACAAACCTTTTTTTTTCTTTTACAGTACCACAGCCTATATCATATGTTCCACATCTGGAAGTACCTACTCTTTTTGACCTAAATAACCAAACTGAGGGTGCATTACATCATTGTTCATTACTCAGTTGTAATTCAAAACAAATGCACAACATGTCTCTGTGTGTCTTGCTCAGCGGGTCACTGAATGCTGATCCGTGCATGAATGTAGTTTAAATCTGAGGCTTCTTAAACTGTAGCCAAGAGCTTATAGAGTTACCCTGAGGGGAACTGCTGTCCCAAGAAGAATAAATACACCTATGAAGTTAATATACTGTAAACACCAATGAAGTTTCCAATTAAAAGGAAAAATGATACCTTTATGCTGATTGAATGCTATGCGATTTACACAACTCCTTCAACAACATGGAGTGCCGAAGGTGTTTTGACGATCTCTACAGAAGCAGTCCTTGGATTTCAGGTTGATTTTCTCACAGCAGTACAGAGTGAGTGACAAAGTGTCTTGTAAATGTAAAAAAAAAGTCTAAATCAGACTCAGATTGCCCAACTTTAAATCACTTCTAGTATTTTCTTTGTGTGTGGGTGTTCTTTATGATTTCTTTTTATACAGTAAAACACTTACTTTTAATTGAGACTACTTTACATATGATTTGTATTAAACATGTGAGACTGAAATAAAATGTAAGGAGTATAAGAAAGAGTATATTTGCATAATTATGCCAGCGTTAATAACTTTTCTTCACAAGCAAAACAGGAACACCTCAGATGGTCTGCTTTTCCTTCGTACTTTGCAAGTGCTTGAAGTAAAAACCTAAAATATAAATGTTTCTAAAACTGATTCAAGAATCAGCTGACTCATTCAAAGCACTGTTGTCCTAAATTTGTTGAAAATATATATTTGGGGTCTAAGTTGGGTCTAAGTTTCCAACACTTAAAAAGTCCAAAAGGGAAAAAAAATAATAATAATTTTTAAACTTGGCCTGAGGTCTATTTTTGGCCTATTACTCATCAAGTTATATTATAATATGATGCCATGTCACTCTGAGATGTTCCAAAAATATTACTTTGCACTCAAGTCAAATGATTCTCCCAAGAAACCCTTTCACAGATTTGTTGAGGTTTGCTCGTTCAATAAAACACCTGTGATTTGCCTGCTAATATCTCTTAGGGCTTTCCAAACATGGAGAAACAAAATTGCTTGCAATATATATCATATAGTTGTCATTCTGTACATGTATTTACTTGTAAATTGGTGACAAGTTTTGGATTTTCCATGGCCAAATGGTGTGTTTGTTTATTGCTGGTTTGTGTTAGGATTTAGTTCTAGTCATGCAATTCTATTCTATTTTTTATCTTGTTGGAAACATTTCTTAACAATTACCACACACATTTTTTGGTTATTTGGACCACTTAAACAAAACTCAAAGTGATCAAATAAGGTTGTTCCTCAGTTAAATTATTATTTGCAAACCAGATGTATAGAACGTCAATAAAATAGGCTATTAGGTAATATTACAAGCACATAAAACAGTAAGCATGTTGGGTTTAAGGTTGTGCTGGAGGGCTTCCACTACCAAATGCTGACATGTTCAAAATTGCTGTTTATGTTTGTGTTTATATCATTCTTAATCACTGAACAACAGCCTAATAGCTCTTCAGCTTCATACCTAATGAAAGGTGGGAGGTCAGGGGTATCAGCTCACATCTGGCTGCCACGTTTGTGTTGAGGATGTGCTCAGTAGAAAATGTCCCAGTGTTATTAATTTGTTACAGCAGAAATGCCAGGACGAAGCGATTGTAAAGAAGGTAATTTGTAAAATGGGTTTTACCAGGCTCGCTTTTATTTACGCATCTTCAGGTTGAAAGACAAGCCTTTGTAATGAGTTTTAAAAGCTACTTTTATTATTTTGTTTAATGCCAGATAATGAAGGGTTTGCAAAAAGATACAGTCAGCTTGTCCTGATGTATGCTTAATATTCCAGGTAAATAAATCTAACAAGGTTGAGTCAGGTTGGCTGGACGGGTTCTTCAGACTGAAGAAGTCTTTTGGATAAAAGATGAGACGTTTCAACAAAGAAGAACCCGTCCAGATGACCTGACTCAACCTTGTTAGATACTGTCAGCTTTTAACGTCAATTAAATCTGCATGATTTGTATTCCATCAGGCCCACAATTTTCCATGGGGAAACAGGAAGCCTTTGAGATCTTTATTAGGGATCATGAGGAGCATCTAACCATTGAGGACAACAAAAAGATACTCAAAGAAAGGTTGGTGCAAAAGGAACTGATTTATCGAACTTCTGATATTGCTTTCTTAGACTTGCTGTTTGTCCTGATAAAATACAGTGGGCTCATGAGAACCAGCAACAGACTGAAGAATACAAAGGTGCACATAAAACATTCCAACCCTG